GAGAAGGCAGCGGCCGCTGCGGCTGCGACCGCGCCCGAGACCCCCCGGAAGAAGACCCCCATCCAGAAGCCGCCTCGGAAGAAGAGCAGGGAGGCGGCGGCGGGGGAGCCGAGCAGGGCCGGGGCGACGCCCGCAGCTTCCTAGGCCCGCAGCCCCGCGGGCCACCGCGTTTCTCGGCGTGGTTTCCCGCGGCCGCAGCGGAGCATTTCATTGGCCCAAGCACCTAGCGCCCGGCCCGGCCGAGGCTGTGTCCGATTGGCCCAGGCTCCAGCTCCGCCGCTTGGTTGGATCTGCTCTCGGGCCCGACAGACACTTAGCTGGCTGCTCGCTCCCACCAGCAGTGTGGTGGAGCTTTCCTAGTTATCTGCGTCTCGTTGGCCACGGCTGGGAGAGCCCGCAGACTTGCCTGGGCTATCCCGTCATTGGCTGATGGCGAGCGCGTTTGCCTCTTGGCTGCCTCTCAATTGCCAGGGCCTGGTGCCTATGGCTGTTAGGGTCTTTTTCTTGAGGATGGCCAGAGGCTGCTTCCATTGACTGGGCTCCTGAGTATCTGGCGGGCCTGAACCTGGGGAGGAGAGCTGGTCTCTGCCCCTCAGGGGGCTCCGCCTGTCCCTTCTCCACTGACACCAGCCCTGGTCCCTCAGCTGTCAAGCTGGTTTTGATGGCCTCCCACCACCCCACAATTGAGGGAACCCCAGGGGCGACTCTGGTGGCCTTAGATGTATTTATAGGCCCCGGGCAGGGCTGCTCCCATCCCATCTGGGGCCTCCAGGATGGGTTCCTCCTAGCAGGGCCAAGCCAAAGCTTTCTTAATAAAACGCTTCTCCCCACTTCCTGTGCTCTGATTACTTCCTGCTTGAGGTTGTGGGCAAAGATGCCCTTCTTACGGAGCCTGTATGTGACATCTTCTGGACTCCTCTAGCTAAATGGGACCTTGGAGTCCCCAGTGTGGGTCTCTAGGAACTGTTGGCTAGGTGTGCTAAATCCACCAGTCCTGAGCTGTCACTTGAGAAGAAGGGTGGATCTGAGCAGGGGCCGGGGCGGAAGGGGACAATATGGGGACACAGGGAACAGAACTGTTTCTGGTGAGACAGGTGAGGGCAAGGAGCCCCCAGCCAGACCTCACCAAGCACTGTGCCACTGCGCAGAACCTGTGGTTCGCCCCCATAGGTAACTCGCCTTTAATGGGATCCTTTCTAACCCATTACCACATGCTTCAAGAGGGGAGAGAGAAGACAGCCTGCTGGGCTTTCTCTGGAGCCGTTTGTGTCCGTCCCCACCTAGCACCTTCACCTCTCCTGACTGGGCTTTCTGAGCCTCCGGACCTGTGCTCCCCCAGGGTTCCTACTGCCCCTCTTGATTTCTGAGAGCTGTCTGTTCGGGTTCCTCCTACAGCCCTGCGGGGGGGCAGGCTCTCTTGTTGGTGAGACAGGATCACACAGTGTGGCTCAGTATGACCTTGAACCCCTGCCTCAGCCTCCCAAGTGCCAGCCAGGACTATAGGGGTGGCTTCTCCGTGCTTTTGTTTTTTGATTTTGAAACATTTATTTGTTTGGGTGTGTGAGTGTTTTTGCCTGCCTGCATGTATGTGTACCATGTGTGTGCCTGGTGCCACAGAAGTCAGAAGAGGATGGAACTGGCGTTATGGACGCTTGTGAACTGCCATATGGGTGCTGGGAATCAAATGGGGGTCCTCTGCAAGAGCAAGAAATGCTCTAGACTGCAGAGCCGGCTCTCCAGCACTTTCTCCCAGCTCTTGATGCCCAGCTCCAAATCTGATTCTGCCAGTACCTTCCCACTTCACGTATCTGCAATGCCGGCAGCTCGGGGGTGCTCCTGGGCAGGGCCCTTGTTCTCTGGCCGGTTTGTCCACCACTTTGAGGTCAGTTTTGGTCCCACACCTGAATGGAGGTGGCATCCAGAGCAGCTAATGAACGCAGTGCCTCAGGCTGGCCTGGCTGGGTAACACGTGGGGGGAAGTCCTGCTGTCTGCCAGATGTTTTCCTCTGGGCAGCAAGGCACCCTTCCTGCTGCGGTCTTGCGGCTTGATTGGCCTCCGATCCACGGAGCCACCAAGCCACACTGGCTGCTGTGGCTGCAGTCAGGCTCCGCCCTGGCGAAAGGGGCGACAGCCGGTGTGGTGTGCGGCACTTGTTAGACCCCGCTGCTGCCCCGTGTGTGCCCCTAACAAGCCATCCTGCCTCAGTGGCCTCTCCCTTACTCCTCAACTCATTTTAGCCCTCCCTTTCCCTCGTCAGGATTCTTACGACCTGGGCAGTGCAAGAATGTCTCAGTACTGGCCTGGAGCCTCTCCCCCCACTGTCCAGGAAGCCTGACTTGCAGCAGCCTCCCCGTGGGCACATCCCAGCGCAGCCAGTCCTGCCCCGCCCCCCAGGAGACCAGTCCCTTCCATCAGCCAGTCCTGCCCCCGCCCCCGCCCCCGCCCCCAGGAGAGTTCCCCGTAAGCGCCTTTCACCACCCGGTATTCCCCACCCCCTCTGGGCTTGCAGGAGTGCCAGCTCCCAGGGCAGGCGCCACAAAAGGGAACCACAACTGCTGGAACCTCTGTTGCCATGGGGACGGGGACCACAGAGCTCACATCTGGTAGTGATTGAGGAGGAAAAATTATGAGTCGTGGAAAACGCAAATATTTTTTTGTAGCACAGAGCACAAAGGAATGTGGGGACTGGAGAGGGGCCTGGGCTCCGTCTGGTCTCCAGCAGGATGTAGCACACATCACTCAGATCGGCCAGGCTGTGCCAGACACACACATGCACACACACCAGCAGTTGTTTATCTTGTGGCAAACACACATTTGTGACTAGATGCACAGAAATACCAACACACTCACATGTGTGGCAAACCATCGAAGCCCTGAAACAGAACAAACACACAGCAGAATGCATCCCACACATGACTGCATCCAAAGAAGCAGAGACATACTCATCAAGGCTCCAAAACTCCCTGGGACACAGAGGCAACTAGACATATCATCCGCTAGACAGAGACAGACCTTCATGTCCAACATAGACACCCTGCAGCACTGCACATACATGCCCAGGGGCACATACCTGCCACACACATGTCCAGCCAGCCCACAGTAATGCAGAGGGCTGTCCACCCTCAAAACAAAGGGCAGGGGACACACAGCAAATCCACAGACATAGGAATGCAAGACACCCTGCAACATACACTCTCAGGCATGGAGAAAGGATTAGTTCATATCGTAGGAATCACGTGGGCTACCTGCCACTTGGAAACTGAGTTCCTTGCAGCACACACACACACACACACACACACAATTCATAACGTGATGAAAAAGAGGCAAGTACTGACCTTACACACATAACCACCACACACGGAAACACGAGGCACACACTCAACATGCTCACTTAACGTGTCCTCTGTAACACATGCCGTTGTACTAGACAAAATGTCAACACATACCCAGGAGAGGACATCTAAACTTGCAGCATACACACCTGTCATCTGACAAAAATATTAGAGACACTCCTCTGCCACTGTCCACAGCCTCCACCAAGTGACACACACACCGGACACACAGAGACACAGTGACACAGCCTGTAACGTGTGTGTGTTCTACAAAGCTGGCTGGATACCAAGACATTGACTACAACACACACACACACACACACACACACACACACACACACACACACCATAGCCTGATATGCAGACACACAGAAAAGACATGGGAAGGCGCACTCAGTCCATAGGTAGACAGACACTAAGACAAACATCTACAGCATGGTCAACGAAGCCTTGGGGTGTGCATACCCCTGAAATACACCCAGATGTGTGAGACAGTACTGGAAGTCATCTGAGTTCTGTGATCCAGAAAAACAGGAGGTGAAGCATTCACAATATCCTGGTCAGTCCCCAGCATCACCCCAAACAAGCAGCAACAACAAAGCAAGTGAGGAGGAGGAGGAGGAGGAGGAAGCTGTTGGGGATGAGGTACCAGGCCTCTCTCCCTGTGTTCCTGAAGACTCACTGAACCGTGGACATCTTGGGCCCCAAACTCACAGAAGCCTCTGTCTAGTGTGGCTGCTGGGAAGTGTGCAGAGTGTCGATGGGTACAGTGACCCTGAAAGTGCCTGCTACACAGCAGAAACACTCCAGGGGCTTGTTTTCTGTTTTAGACAGCATTTCTTGTAGCCCAGGCTAGCCTCCAGCCTCTAGCTTTGTAGCTGAGGATGACTTGAGCCGCTGATACCCTGTCCTCCAAGTGCTGTGTGATCTTTGTTTATGTTCTGACAAATAAAGCTTGCCTGGAGATCAGAGGGCAGAGCTAACCACTAGTTAACCATAGAGGCCAGGCAGTGGTGGTCCACACTTTTAATCCCAGCACTTGGGAGGAGGAAGCAGGAAGATCTGGAGTTCAAGATCACCTGGACTATACAAGATTGATCCAGTCTAAAAGAGAAACAGAGCTGGGCAGCTCATGCCTTTAATTCCAGCACATGGGAGGCTCAAGCCTTTAATTCCAGAACTAGGGAGGTGGAGACAGGAATATAAGGTGGATGAAGACAGGATCCCGTTCCATTCAGTCTGGGGATTCATAGAGACAGGATCTTCCCTGTTCAGTCTGAGACAGGATCACCCATTTGGTCTGAGATTTCATAGAGGCAAGAAGTCTCTGGTGGCTGCTGCTCTGCTTCTCTGATCTTTCAGCTTTCATCCTCAGTGTCTGACTCCGGGTTTTTATTGTTAAGACTAATTAGGTTCATGCTTCACCCAAGTGCTGGGATTATAAATGTTCAGCACCATGCCTGATTTATACGATGCTGGGTATTGAACTCAGGGCTTTGTTCACTCTACCAACTAAGCTATGTTCTTAACATCGCCAGTGGCTTCACACTGTTTATTTTGTGTGTACGAGTGTTTGCCTGCTGCCTGTAGAAGCTAGAAGAGGGTGCTGTATCCCTTGGAACTGGAGTTGCAGGTGGCTGTGAGCTGCCATGAGGGTGCTGGGTATCAAACCCAGGTCCTCTGCAAGAGCAGCTGGAGTTCTTAACTGATGGCTCGTCTCTTCACACCAACCCCCAACTTTTTTTTTTTTTTTTAAAGACAGGGTCTCTCTACATAGCCTTTGCTGTCCTGGAACTCTCCGTGTAGACTAG